TATCAACTCATCTTATCGCATCATATCTTGTCTTATCTTATTACTCCATGGGCTGTCTTATCTTATATATTATCCTACCTTGTCATATATCTTATCTTACCTTATCATATATTGTGCTATATTATCATATATTGTAGTATCTTATCTTGTATTGTCTTATCTGGTGATCATCATTGGGAGGAGGGAGGCGCGAGCGGGAGGAAGGAGGAGCAGTGGGAGGCGTCAGAGTAATAACAAGAACCCCAATCCTTAGGATATGGGGAACAAAGCAGACCACCGCGATGGTGCGAGCGCTGCCGAAGACGGCCTGCTGGAGCGCACAAACCGCGAACTCCTAAAAGACCCTTGGCGGCGCCCACGATGTCAGGCGGCCGAGCGCAGCAGCCGCGGGAGATGCAGCGCCGAGGAACTGTAGAATACGGACCGCACGAGCGAAGCGAGCTTGAGCCAAAACGGCAATGGAAGGACCGTGTTAGAGGGGGTCCACCCTCTGCGGCTCGGACGCACTGGCAGGAAAACAGTTCTGAGAACAAACAATTTATATATATACACACATACACGTCTTGGATGTAAATAGCGTCCGATTCCGCAAACCCTGCCGGGGTGTGCGAGTTTGCTTTTCATTGGCACCGCTTCTCCTTTCCCCGCGGCCATCCTTGGCCTCCCTCCGCAGGCCAGTGGGACAGCATAAGAGCATGCGATGTCGGGGAAGGAAGATGCGCCACCTGTCCGGCCCCGCCGCCCTGGCCAAGAGCCAGGGGAAAGGGGGGTTGAAACGCCGAGCGCGGGCAAGGACGCCTGACGATTAGGGAGGACACCTCGGAGGGGGAGGGGAGAGGAACGTCGCAATCGCGTCGGAGGAACATAGCAATCGAGCGAAAGGAAACTCCCTCGATCTCTGCTTGACCAAGGTGGGTTGCCCCAGTGTGCCAGGCAGGCGACCAAAACCCAAAAAGTCGGAGATGGGCGGGCGGGCCATGCGGGCGAACGCTTCGCTTGGGTCGGGCGTGTCCTCCTACAGGCGCGTCCTGCGACAATGTTTGGATTATTTTTGAATATGCCCCCTGCGCAAGGACAGGCCCCACGCAACGCCACGCGCCAGACTGCCGACCGGCCGAGAGGGGCGCCGCAGAGGAGCAGCAACATGTTTTTTTTTGTTTTGATTTGCGCGCGGGTGATCGTCTGCCGAACACTCCTGCCCGCGGCGCCGAAACGACGAGCGAGGGGCCCGAAGGGGGGGCCGAAAGAAGCGAGGGACGGACCAGGACCCAAACAGAGCCGAGCGAGGGACCGAACCGAAAAACAGGGACAACGAAAAATCGAAGGCCCGAGACAAGCGATGCTGGCAAGACTGGCGGTTAAATTTGGAGCCCGCGCCCTGGCTCCTGGGCTTCCAGCCTCAACCTCTGGCCAGGCAGCAGCATGCGGACATGACGCAAGCAGCGCGGCGGCGGAGAGCCCTTCCTCTCTCTTCGCGAGCCTGGGCTGGGGGGAGCTAAAAAGAGCACAAGAGAGGATGAGTGGGCGCAGGCGGAACGGGTGCCTGCTTCTCAGCGCCTCTGTACCCACTCATCCTCAGCCCTAGCCGACGAGCCCTGACGCATCGGCACAGGAGCATTTCGACTGGCAGAGATATGGCATAGCTAGAGAGGCGTGCAAGGATGTCGCCCCACGCGGCAGGCGGAGCAAGAGTCTTTCTCGTTGCTTCTCTTTGCGAGCCTGGGCGGGGGAATGCGAAAAAGGCAGCACAGAAAGGGGGTGAGCGGGCGCAGGCGGAACGGGCGCCTGCTTCTCAGCGCCTCTGTGCCCACTCATCCTCGGGCCTACTCGACGATCCCTGACGTGTCGGCACAGGGACATTTCGACTGGCAGAGGGATTCGTGGCATAGACTAGAGAGGCATGCACTGACATCACCCCGCGCGGCAGGCGGAGCAAGAGTCTTTCTCTTTGCGAGCCTGGGCGGGGGGAGGCGTGACAACAGCACAACAGGGGGATGAGTGGGCGCAGGCGGAACGGGTGCCTGCTTCTCAGCGCCTCTGTACCCACTTATCCCCAAGCCTAGCCGACTACAGACGCGCCGGCGCATGACATTTGGCACGACCTAGACGCGTCGGCACTCATGGCGATAGAACATGCACTTCTGGCGGGCTGGCGTCGGGGATCCAAGA